CTGTTAGTGAAAATTCTAGGGAAACAAAAAAAAAAATGTGGGAAAAACAACAAAGTTACGTATAGCATGGCATGGAAGTATCTACACCATGATCGAGGCCGACAAATACAAACGACATTGCTGCACAGGCACAAGGCTTCAACTGTCCTGTAGGAGAGTTGAAGCATCTCGAATTGAGATCCTTTAAACACCAAGACCAGCAGTAGAAACTGGACGTATGGTCAGTGGAGGCAATATTGTATATCTAAAATGATGCCATTATTATGGAAAGAGAATTTTATTAAAGATATTTTTCTATTATGAGTTTTTTTGTGTAGCGAAATTAATGAATTTATTTCTTATTCAAGTAGTAAATAATTTTGTGTTTTAATAGCTTTAAAATATTTGTATTATAGTAAAGATGTTTCAAAAATTAGTTGTTTAGCAATATCTTTAAAGGGAATGAGAATTTCTCATAACATAGAAAGGCAATGTAAAAAGAGTAAATTTTTTATACACTAATAGTGTATATATTAACAGGTTTAGATGCATATCATATATATAAAATTTGATATTTAAATTCAAATTCAGATGATGTGATATTCATTTAACCCGTCAGTGTATATACTAACAGTATAAGAAAGATTCATTTATATAAAAATATAAATATTTAATAGTTGTAAGACTATTCTTTAAATTATATGAAGTCCACAAGGACAATTGCCTGCTCTCAACGTAGTGTGGCGCCGCCACTGACCATGACTTTAGTAGCTACATGTAACTATTGTGCTCAAGCATGATTGTTAAAAGACTAGTGTCTAATCATCACTATCTAAGATAAATTGATAAACCATTATTATATCATACATGTGCACTTGGATAGGAGATTATTTGTCTAAATATATTTACTTACATCACCGTTACAATTTTCAATACACTTTTTTATCTTCTTAATTACCTTTTTATTTCACATATATCACATCACAAAAAGTGCTACAGTAAAAAATCTCAAATAATTTACAATCCAAACACAATCGGCCATTTTTTTTAAACTTAATATTTCCTTTTTCTAATTTTACAGAAGCTTTTGTGCATTGAGACAAGGGGTCCAATAAGCCCGATGGGAGCACAGCCACCATTGTTTTTCCACCCCTATCTTGGGAAGTTTTCTGAAATTTTTGTTTTGGTTTGTCGATTGAATAGGTGGGCAAAAAACAAAAAAGCAAACAAAAAAGAAAGAAAAAACAAGATGAGGGATTTGTTTGTATAATATTTTTCTCGAGTTCCAAGTTGTATACACATTAAATCAATACACATACTTTCTGCTTGAAGTCTATTAATGTGTGCCACACTCTGCAATCTGCATGTATGATTTTGGAAATGTGGAAATTCCACTTCTGGCGTCATTGAATATTCTTACAAGCGCGGCCAAGAGCCAACTACTCCTTTAATTTTTACCTTATTTAATTTCTCAACAACTTGTAGACACAGTCAAATTGAAATATCTTAACCTACTGTTGCTATAGTTGAAAATTATGTCCTTATCTTGGGAATGTGATTTTGGACTAACTGAATAGTGGAATAATGGTTCTTTCCAGTGTTTCTATAAATATTTATGTCATAAACACACACACACACACACATATATATATATATATATATATATATATAATGCTTTTCTCAGCAAATAGTGCTTAAGGATTTGATTGCTAAGACATCCAAATTATGACATCTATACAATGACCATAAATAAGTAGGGGAAGCATGCAATGACATTTGATGAACAAATTCCAATTAATTTCCATATCCAACAGCTATACATACCAATGGATATTTGAAGAGATAAGCACTTGAATTTTCAAGCTGGCGTTCATCATGTATTGCAAAATTGCATCTTCACAATGAAAAGCAGGTTGGTTGATGTACAGTGTCAACACTCACAAAAAAGGTTGAAATGGTCCTACTAACCATTGAAAGTTGCCAAACAGATATGTTATTATGTATAACAAAAACTCACGAACTAAAATTGTAATACATATCTACTTCTTGTCTACGACATTCTTTCAACTAAATATGGTTATGTACATCAAATTGGTGTAAACATTCACTTCTTATCAATATTTTTTTTTTTTTTGGACAATTGCACAATTCTCCACTTCTGCTCACCGTTTACTGACCAAGAATTCGAAAAATTTGTTAATGACATTTTAGACTTGAAAAGCAAGAGGCATTTAAACTTCACAAAAGAATTTCTTTATGAAATGTTACAATCCATAATTTTGTTTTAGTGGAAGGCTGCGATGACTTGTCTATCTCATCAGTGTCAAGAAAGGGAAAAATTGTCTCTCACATTTTTAGAAAAACTATTTTAGTCTATCACATTTAAAATCAGTCAAAATAGTTGAAAGGCAAAAAAAAAAAAAACATGCCTACTTCATGTGCCTATAATTGTCATGGGAAAATGAAACATTCGATTTCCATTTTGGTTGTAGGTGTAATCAATATGCTCTTAAGAGTATGATAATGATAGAAAGAAATAATAGAAAAAGAATTCCAATATAAAGGCTTTTATTGTATACCACCACTAAGAAATACCATAATAGGCGATATTCATTGGACCAAGCACACTCCATTGAATAGAAGCTTCCACAGTCGGTTGTCCAAAATGAGAATTCCAAATTGCATAAACAATAAGTCTGATGTATAAAGAGTTTGATGGATGAAAATTTAGAGAAAGGGGAGGTTTTTCTTTTTAAGGAGGGAAATGAATTTTGTTCTCATTTTGGCCTTGAAATTATGTGCAGGCGAAGAAACATGTGTCTTGTGGCCAGAAAGCTGAGCAAAAATGAGTTTTGACTATTATTTCTTACTTGGTTTGCTCTCTAAATTTAAAGTAATGGAATAATCACGGGTTCCAAGATAATTATGAGTTATGCATAAATAACGTGGTCCTTTGTTTCTATTTTCATTTGCATTTTTTGCTTAGAATGTTCCTCTTTAATTTATTGACGTAAATTATATAACATGCGCGCAACAATTGTCCAAAGGCTTTTCAAAGAGCATAGTAGATGAACATGTATTCTTCAGCCTTCAAAGTCATTGATCTCATCTAATCCACATTTGTTGATTTACAATGGCATGACATTTCAAAAGGTAACTGAAGCCAATCTAGCACTTACATAAGCTTGCGGTAAGTTTTTCTTTTTCTTTTTTTATTAATGCTATCATGCATGATATTCATTTAATTTCTTTTTCTTTTTTATTTAAATGCAGTGGTACAATAATTGTGATTGGGCATTTTAATATAAAAATTTATGGGTGTTAATGAATGTTTAATAAATATCCATTAGAAAAAAACTTATACACAAGCATGTGTGTCAGTCACACCAACATTGCTGTTACGTTGAGCACACCATAGTAGAAATGATTGAGATCACCAAGTGGGGAGTAATTCCAAGAATGCTAATTAGGTGTGATATCTTGCAATTTATTGCTCTTTGCTTTTTTGTTTTTTTTAACCAAAATGTCATTTATATTTGTATTAATAAAAATGTGCCTATGCAAGCATTAACAGTTATAGAGTAGAGCAACTACCCTGAATGAACTCTCTGCCTTACTTCTAAGCCACAGGGTGAATCTAATTCCCACTTTACATCAGTGATGATGAGCTTTGTAGCAAATTTTGCCAATTAATAACCAACACTGTTCAACTTCTTTGGACAATTTATTGCTATTGTTTCTATAGTACTTCAACAAATTAATAGCATTAATAATAAGGATTAATCTTTTACACACTGACGTTTGGATTACTATTTTCAGGGAGTTTTTATAGAAAAATGTACTATAATGATTTGATATATGTGAGGTAAAAAGATAATTGCGAAATGTGTTTACGTAAAATTTTTTCTACATAAATTCACAATCCAAACAAGGCCACACGTGCATAACAAATCATTTAAATTTAAATTTCAAATTTCAAATTTTGCTCATGTGTCGTTTATTCAATTGTGATAGTGTATACGTTTTCAGTATATATAAGATTTGATCAAAACTTGGGTAGACCCGATTTTTAAAGATCCAATGACGCAAATTGTGCTACACCACTTAGTAATATAATGTGGCATAATTTGGACTATTAAATTTTTGAAAATTGGGTCTACACAAGTATGAGCCATAAGCACCAACTCCCTTTAGGGTACGTTTGGTTCTACAGAATTGGAATTGAATTAGAATTGAAATTCTATAGAATTTGAATTCTATGAATTGGAAATCCAAATCCTTGCAATTCTTTCATTTGGAAAATACATAGAATTGATACGGAATTTATTTGGAATTCCAAATTCTTTGTTTGGATGAGAGAAGAATTCATTAGGAATTAGAATTGTTTTCATGAAACATTTGCTTACATAAAATTTTTCTTTTTTTATATAATAATTTCTTTTTTTTCTTACATTTAGCTAATTTTTACTAAAAATTTAAAGGAAGAAACCAATTTGTACCTTTAATAATTTACTTTTTCTTGCATTTAGCTAATTGTTACTCAAGCTTTAATGAAAAATGCAAATTACTTCCTTTTTGGCAATATATCAGCCAAAACCCCGAAACTAGCTAGGACATTCTGGCAAAATTACAACCAACAATGACAATATAAATAGAATATTGCAACAATGATAATATAAATCGACACCTGCATATCAAGAACAGAATACTTGTGCTAAATTGCTTGCTTAAACAACCATCATAGAGATAGAGGTTATATACACTGTAGTGGAAAAGTAGCCCTCATTTCTGGCTACTTTAACATTGAAATGGTTTGTTAGCAATCGAAACTTTTGGCCTCTGGAAGCAACACCAGTCCTAGCCATTAGTAGTCTCTTGGCGTCTGAAAAAAGCAAACATTGATACAGCCAAATATTGATATAATCCATGAATACTATAATGAAAAAAGCAAATTACTTCCTTTTTTGCAAAATACCAGCCAAAACCTCGATAAGCCCCAAGAGCAACAACCAGCTGAGACATTCAGGCAAAATCACAACCAACAATGACAATATAAATAGAAAATATTGCAAAACAAATTCACGATTCTTTAGAAGAATGCATTCTCACTAAAAGTTTAATAAATGTATTCTCGCTAAAAGAAATAGAAAAATGTATTCTCGCTAAAAGCCTAAAACAAGCCAAAGAGAAAGGTAGCCCTTTTGAATTGTATTAGTCCTTTCTAGTTTCAAAGGTAAGACAAGACTTCAACCAATTGTGGATTTCAAAAACACAAAACAAAGGAACCAAGCCATCAGCTTCAACATTGAAACACCAAGGCACCACCACTTTCCTCCTCCTTGCAGACCTACACAGGCCATCAGTTCACAATGTTTCCATGTCAGGTAAGGGTGACTGTAAAACTGCATAAGCTCAATGCTAAATTAAGACCATTTTCCTTTGACAAATAATACTTGAATAAGGACACAACGACCATTTTGCTTTAGCTGTAGGGCAAATGTACCATTTTCACAAGAAATGAAGCACCTGCCTCTAGCTTTTCCTCTTGCTTCTTAATATCATTCTCATCTAATATTCAGCGCCTTCCAAGAAATTTGACAGGGTCACTAATTTGCTACAACAAGTATACAATAATCTCATCTCCTTTAAAGAACAAGACACTGCACCTGGTGTGAAAAGTTAACAAAATAAGGAAGTAGAATTAATAGGCTTAATCAAGGGAAATTGTAGTTATATCCAAGGCTTACTTACAGATGTTACTCTACAAGCAGTTAGTTTAAGTTCTTGTTCAAGTAGACCAGACTCTGCTTCATTTAATTGGTGAAAACCTCTCCCCACTACCCTGTAATAAATTCAATCTTGGGATTATTTGTAAAAGTCATTACCGTTTATAACATACCTCGTCGCTAATTTTATCATACACCAAGTGCTACACAGCTACTGTTACAGGACTTTTATCAGATTTTGCATGGACATCCGACTGCAATAATGCTCTCTGCACTTTCTGCACAGAGTTCCAAGTGCTACACAGGTCTCAGACAAAACTTAGTGGAGAAGTGTAAAAATACATAAAACTTTGACTGATGAAGATGCATATAACTGAAAATTTGATAATGCAAAACTCGGGGGTTTCTGCTCATGTAAGTTTCTGATGTTGCCGTATTGAAAACAGAGGAGGAAATCAAACACAAAGCCTACTTTCATACGTCATACAATGTAACGAGTTACTTTTAAACAGTGAAAAGAATTATTTTCCTGGTACAAGTCAGTCTAAGAAATTAGAAAGGAGAAGTGAGTTCTCCAACATACCAGAAATTAATTTGCAGAAAATGCAATACAGAATATATTAAATGAGCTATCTGTGCTATTTCATCCCTAAAAAATGATAGGATATGAGACATTAATCTTATCTAGATGATGGAGAAATAATTTACTAGAATATTGATAATTTACTAGAACACTGCTTGCACAAAATACAGGATATGAAGCAGACATGAACCACAACAAAGCTAAATATCTCATCTTTCAGTGTAGAATCCAAATGCAGTATCAATTTGTGGTTCCACAATGCAAAAGCTTCTAATAGATCTCAAAAAACCATTTTAAGGAAGACATACGAGATTACCCCTTTCATCTTCATCACCAACATGATTTTAAACTAACATTATATATTCCAACAAGCTAAAACTTGGACTCGATTTAACTAATTGAACTCAAACCCAAAATAAGAAAAAGGAAACAAACGATCAACTTGTGCTTTTTTTTTTTAATCCTTATTAATAGCATAAATCTAGAAGCCAAAAATACTAGAGCAAAATATCAGAAAATAAAAAAAATTGCTGTTTGATTGGCAAAAATTTAGACAAATTTACCTTCACAAAACAAAACAAACCATTGCAATGTATCCAATGAAAAAAAAGCTATGTAATAAAGCCCATAACCAATGATTAATTGAAAAAATTTCAAAGATCGAGTTACCTTTCACAAGCCCTAAATGTGTCTGAAATTTGGGGAAAGCGGGAGAGCTGAAGGAGAGAGCCCAGAAAATAAGGATGAGAGGAATAAAAATGATTACAGCAGCAATGGAGGCGCGGCAGAGGTTACCAAACTGATTGAGCCGTATCCTTGTGAACTTGGTACTGGCTATGGTCAGCCTTGTTTATCTACGAAATTCGCATGGCGCAGCCCATATCACTTATAGCCACTGGATTTGAGCCAATTTACAGAAAGAAACCCTATAATTTCACTCTTAACATGCGTAAATGAAAGTAGATGTTCAATGCTGGGAAAAGGCAGAGGAGGAAGATGAGTAAGAGGAGAGACAAGGCGTCAGCAATGGAAGTATAGGTGGAGGCAGAGGAGGAAGTATGGGAGGAGGCGGAGAAGGAAGATGTGGAGGAGAAAGAGCTGCAAAAGAAACGGTGGTTGGTCTGTGACAAGAGACAGAGAGAGGACTTTCATTTTCAGTTATGTTTTTGTTGATTATATAGAGACCCGTTTCACTGATTTAATCCACCTAGGATCCACGTACTAACCCGAATAGGAGGTGAAATTATGGAATTGGAATTGTAATTCTTAGGTCCTACCAAAGAATTGAATTTGTGGAATTGATGGCCCGTAGAATTCGAATTGAATTCTAATTCTCTGGCATTGATAGTGTCCAAACCGAAGAATTGGAATTGGGGCTTCAATTCTAATTCTAAGCCTCCAATTCTACGGGAACCAAACGTACCCTTAGTGGAATTGACCACACCTTTAATGTGGGGTGAGAGGTCAAGGATTCGACCTTTGCCTCCCATAAAAAAGTTGCCACTTAATGTGGCTTTGTTTAAGATCCATGTGGGTGCAGTACCCACATGGTCCGATGGTGGTTTAGTACCTATCGATTCCCCGTGACTCTGTCGGGTCATCCTCCACAATAGGTTAGATTAGGATTAGAAATAGGTATAAATGTAGATGATGACAAGTAACAAAAAAAAAAAGTGTGAGTCATAAGATTTACTCTAATACTAATGTCGAGAACCAAAATATATACATATATATTTCAAAAATCACCTTGCATTATACTATTAGTTTCCTCTCGTGCACCACGTGAGAACATTTGCATTGCCGCCTCTTTCTTCTTCTTCTCTACACCTTCAACCAGTTTTTTTTTTTCCCAGTCAAATTCAACCATTACTGGACAGCAGAAATTTATTAAATAAAAATACAAAACGACACGTTAGGCTCGTACCACCGATTCTTTGTTTGGACATAACAAAACATTTCAACGAACTCTTATTTATTTCTGCTTCCCTCAGCTGAAAAAGAAAGAAAGAAAGAAAGAGAGCTGAGAGGAAAGAACTGACTCACCAAACAACAATGGCTTCGCTCAACTCTTCATCCGTGAGCTTCTTGAATTCTCCTTCACTGCCAAACAAGCCCTTATTAACTACTAATTCTTCTCTTAATCAGCTTTCTTTTCCTAAATCCAGTTCGTTAATTAATTCCAATGATTCCTTAACTTTATTCCATGTCCGATCAAGTCGAGCTTCGTCTTCGAGAAGCCCTAAAGCCTTGGTAAGTGAAAACGACGTCGCAGCTCCAAATTATTCATCAGCTTCTTTTTGTTTTGTTTTGTTTATGCTGTTGCTTTTCTTATTTCTTTTTTTTTTTTTGCACTTTTCAAGTTCTTTTATTATATTATCTGCAAATTGATAAATTTTTTTTAAAGGTTGTGGCGGCGGCGGCGAACAAATCGGAGCCGTTGAAGATAATGATTTCCGGAGCTCCGGCTTCTGGTAAAGGAACACAATGTGAGCTCATTAAAAAAAAGGTAAATTTTTTTTTTCAGTTAGCAATTGAATTTTTATGCGTTGTAAAACTTTTTGGGATTTTATTAGGGTTTATCGTTGATATAATTGAACTTTTTCTTGTGGTTGATGTTTAAGAAGAAGGAAGAATAGTTGGAAATTATTTTTGTGTTTATTAGATTTAAGTATTTCAAGTGACAATGAGGTTCAAAATTAAATTGGAATAATAATGGTAACGTAATCATCTTTGTTATGATTTATAAATAGGATTGACTAAGGGAATTGTTATTGATAATATGATACATCTGTTAATGGATTCCTATGGACTATTTTACTCATGTATAGTAATAAAAATAGCCCTTTTGTGGAATGTGCTCAAATCTGTCACCATGCTTGACTGTATTTCTATTTTTAATCTCATGGCAGTTTTACTCTTCTGCAAATTTTGCTTATGTTCTGAAAGTAAACTGATTAGAAAACCGCAATCATGAATTACAGAATATTGTTTTTGGTGTTTGGTTTGGCCTAAAAACAAACAATGATGTTAGGAGAATGATGAAAACTTGCTAAATGATGTGTAAATGCCATTCAAGATGGCTATTCTTTTGGAATAGTAAACTGTAAATTTGAAAAAAATCTGTAATTTGATGTTGCATGAATTTCGGAGGCAGCGATTAATGTCAGTCAAAAAAATGTCTGACAAGGAACATGAAATTAGAACAACTTGTGAAGGAAAAAATCACTGTATTATGACATCAATATGGTTCTGATAAATTGCGTTAATCAGCCTTTATGTTATTGGTTTTCTGCCTTTTAAATTCTTTTTGGGCATCGACTTCACTGTTCTGTCATTTCTTTGTGAACCACACAATTTAAACTCATCTCATTTTAGATTACCGCGTGAACAAAAACAGATTGAACGAAGTCATCCTCATTTGTGCAGTATGATTTGGTGCACGTTGCAGCTGGAGATCTGTTGAGGGCTGAAATTTCTTCTGGAAGTGACAATGGAAAGCGAGCAAAGGAATACATGGATATAGGACAGTTGGTCCCAGATGAAATAGTTGTCATGGTATGTTTTCTTGTAGAACATGCAATTTCTTTTGTTGTTTTGGGAGATCAAATCCTGGACTTTCATTCATTTCAGATGGTTAAAGAGCGGTTGATGCAACCTGATTCTCAAGATAAAGGTTGGCTTTTGGATGGATATCCTCGGAGCTTATCACAAGCAACTAAACTTCAAGGATATGGTTTCCACCCAGAGCTCTTCATTCTCCTTGAAGTGAGGTTTCACAGTTTCCTCTAATACTTAATGAGCAGTTAATCTCATTTTCATTTAGAAGATAGTATGTGATCATGAATATCATCCTAGGGCCAGTATGAAGTCAGACAATTGGATCTCAATAATTAATGTGGATTTCAAAATTGTCTCCTCTTCTACAAGGAGTTTCATGGCAGAAAACCATAAATTACATTTATGCTGTCTTTTTTTTTGGGCTCAAATTATGCACACGAGGCAGAAATTTTACAGGGAACAAGTATATATGGCCAGCACTGGAGGTCGAGGATTGGCTGGGTACTGAAAGAATACTTGTTTACATAGGCACAGTTATCTTGGCTTTTCGGTTTGTCTGCACCTACTGCTTTTGTGTGTCTGGTGGGTGGGCTAGTATCTAAAACATCAGATACGTGCATTCTAGCAGTTTTTCTTGTCCTTGCTTCGGTCCAACCATATTTCATAAGGAAGACAAATAGTTGATGTGGGCATGGCAAATTGTGTTGTTAACAGGTCCCTGAGGAGATCCTAGTTGAGAGGGTTGTTGGCCGGAGGTTAGATCCAGTTACTGGTAAGATATACCATTTAAAGTATTCTCCCCCAGAGACAGAAGAAATTGCTGCAAGGCTTACTCAACGATTTGATGACACAGAAGAAAAGGCATGTTAAGATCACTCTCACCAGTCTCTTGTTGAAAAAAGGAATAATCTTGATTGTATAATCTTCTATGTAACCTGGTTGATAGTTATTTGATGAACTTGTTTATGCAAATCATTACCTTATTCATTGTCACAACATATCTTTCTTGGTAGGTTAAACTCCGATTGCACACTCATCATCAGAATGTGGCATCAGTGCTTGCGATGTTTGAAGATACTATCATCAAGGTACATGACGTTTACCTTCTGTTTGTTGTGCTGCATATCTTGTGAATGTCCCTCAAACTTTGGGTGGATATTTGATGCTGAAAACTTACCAATCTGTACCTGAAAATATCATACAAAACGCATGTAATACATGTGGATTTTCATAGGATTACATGATTTTTGCAAATATCCTCGGTTTTCTTTGTATTTTTGTGCTGGAGGTATTTTTTTTCTAAGTTTTGTATCCTTTGATTTTTATTTTTTGGGTCATAGTTAAAGCCTTAATTTTCATGAAATGTTGGTTCTTATGAAGGCTACCCGGAGAAAATTGAATTAGATAAATGATAAGCACGTCATAGCAAAAATTGTCTTCATCATACTAGTTTGCATAAATTTGCCATTATTAGTACATTTACGACTTCAAAGTTGAACTAAGGCACTAGACAGAATTCCAAGCACTTATTGTGGTTACTAGAAAAAAGTTAAATGCACTTGCTGCCATAGATATGAACAGGTAATAACTATCTATTTTGCTATCAGAGTCTAGTGAGAAAGCCAGCAAGAATTCTTTTCTTTCCCTCTCCAACTCAATAAACTAGACCGTTCCTCTTTAGGATAAAAAAGGGGCTGGACTGTATTTGCCTATTTTGAAATTCTTATCTCCTACTTCCATGGACATTGTTGATAACAAAACAAAATAAGATGCATAAATCCAATTAAGAAGTACGTAACTGCTCTAAGAAGCAAAAATATGAGTAGCATTTGAAGAATCTTTTTCCTTTTTGGTTATGGTTGCTGAATACAAAACCAAAAATTGTTTAATAGCTTATTCTAGCTTAGTCAAACGCATCAATAGAAAGTCAAGAGGAAAGATTATGTACAAGAAGAAAAGAAAGACGATTTACTTGTTGGTACTTTCGGAATGAAAATTGATAGGTCTCCTCTGATAAGGACATTATCCCCTCTTTACCAATTAGGAGTGATAGGGTTTGAATTAATGAGGTCTTATGTGTCAAACCTCCATCTTTGTACCTAAATTCTTGTTATGTAGCTATTTTAGAAAAGATTCTTTTTGATTGTGAGGATAGACACGACTTAATATTCCCTTGGAGCATTGTTCAACAAGCTGCTAGAATCTTTTTCATGGAATGTCAAAAACCCTTGTGCATTGACATGCTAACCATACTAATATTCTTTTGTTTAAGTAATGTTGAAGTTGAGGTAGTCCTGTGAATTTTTATTTGCTTCAAGGGCAAACCTGCAATCTCAATTAGCTAGTGTAGGTGGTCCTATGAAATTTTATTTGCTTCAGGAAAGACCACTAACCTCAGTGAGCAACTAATTATTACTGAAGATTAAAAAACGTCTTTATCTTAGTTACACCTTAGCTATTGGTATAGGATGTATAAGGTTAGTGGATATCTCTAAGATGCTCTTTATTGGGTAGAAAATAATGCTTGGAGTTTTTGCAACATCAAGGTGGTCTGGGGTTCTGCTGGTACAAACCAAATATACTTAGAATCCACT